AGAGCATTCCCAAGAAATGCAGTAACGGAAAGGAACGAGTTTAAAACTGAAAGAAATGTCAGGTGGCCGTTTAGTCCAGCAGATAAACCTAAAGAACAATCTAGTTGTTCAACTGTTTTCTGCTGTCCATCTCGAATAAAGTTTGCTGCTGCCATATTGATCTGCAACGTAGCTATTTGTAGCTAAACTGTGAGCTAGAATCTGTTAACGTGCGCTGTTGAAACTTCTCAGTGTGGTTTCTTACTACAAGAACTGATGTGTGGATGAAAAACTGACTGTAAGCGCTTTTTATAGCGCTTGTCAGTAATTCCCCAAACGTGTCAATACATGACATTGACAGTTTGAAAAGACAATTTAAATAGCCATGCAGCTGGTTTATTGCCAAAGATTCTAAACACTGACTATTTTTATTTTTGCGTTGCAAAAACGCTAGGAGGTAGAAGCATGGCATTCTCTTTCAGTTGATAGTAAACATGGAAATAATTAATGAGAACGGTAATAATTTATTGTCCTGCCATTGGTTTTGAGGTGTATGTTTTGACCTCAGGAAATATTTCACAAATCCTTAAATCTACCAGTCAGATCCAAAATTAATTTCTTTCTTGATCACCAATCAAACTAATAATTTGTCAGTTTTTAATATTGGTGATATTAAACAAGAAGATTTTGAAGGTGAAAATAATCTGTAGTTCTTTTCTCAGGATCTATCGGGATGGAAATGTATCAAGAATGATTTATCTTAATTTTCTTATTCTTTGCTTTTTTTCCTTGAGATTTTTGACTTTTTGAGTCCTGGATTAGGACTTATTTTGTTTGTTTGTTATAGGGGGTTGTATGCGCGAATTGCGTCTCTTTTCAAGCTTTTCAAGAATGGGCCATAAACATCTGTGGACGTGTAAACTCGCAATTAAAAATGCAGTGACCTTCCATACATTGCTCGACATTTTCAAATAATATCAAATGAGAGAAACGTCAGTGTAAGTTGCACATTCTGGCGAAATTGAAATCGCAATTGTCTTGTGTTTTCTGATATTCAATTTCAGGGAAGTGGTTTGTCGTAGGTTTATTACAGTACGGAGATCTGCAGTGTAGCTTCGTGACCTGTCACTCTGACTGATAAACATATCTCCTTTATTTATTTTGCAAATGAATATAACCCAATGATGCAAAGAAAACACATAAGGGAATATCTGTCTTACTTTAGTTTTACTGACGGGTCAATGAAATTCTAAAGAAACTTGCTTCCTGTGAGCTAGGAACTTTAATTTACTTTGTCTTATCCTTAATTAACTGTATGGATGCCTGTTACAATGCCATGACAAATCTTGCTTTGTAAATGTGCTAATATCTTATCGCCTCAATTAAAACGTGGAAAATCCAAGCAAAAACTGAAATTAACTGTTTTCCCAGGAAAAGCCAAGCAGCAGTGTTTTGAAAGATAATTTTTAATGTGTCAGTTCATAAATGCGGACGCAGAAACATGTGCATAAAATTACCTT